CCATTAAAGGCATTTTGCAAAAATGAGTGTCCAGTTATCTTTTCAATGAATGTTTGTCTTCGATAATATTATATATCTTTATTTATAAAGATATATATCTAAAAGTAGATTTTCATAAATATGCATAATGTATTCAATGTTTGCAAGTTCTACGAGTTGATTTCATTGAATTTTCGTTACTCTTTCCCTACGATTTAACGAGTAATTATGAAAATATCAGTGTTAGAAATGTGTATTTATGTATTTGTGCAAATATTTATGGTTCGATAATCCAGCCTGTAATCAGATATAACTCATTGAATTATTTTTAATTAACGATAATTAGTATTAGCTGCTGATTTCAGTTTTATACATTTCTCACTTTTAGCATAAATTTAATTGCAATTTAGATGTTTGGAGACATTGTAGATTAGCTGAGTTGATAATTATTAGAAGCTTACATTTAGCAGCAGTTGCAGTGCAATTTGAGAAATGCAATAAAATTGAGAATAGGAAAGAGTCGAAGCTCTTTGACTTACACAAATTAACTCGTGAAACCGACTCGATTCTCTCACTCAAAACAACATGACAATCATAGATTCCTTCGTTTTCTTTCTGAGCAGTAAACAGATTAAGAGTACCAGTTGATGTATTATGTATAAATCGCCTTTGAAAGCAGAATAACTCCACATTTAAAGGAAGAGAATTAAGTATTTCACTTTTATGTGATGTGAAGAAAATTAATTCAAAATGCACAATTGCACAAAGTAATTTCAACGACATTTAGTAGTCAAGCCAACTATTAAGCTATAAAGAATTCATCAAACACAGTAAAAGTACTCTACGCTGAAATGTGTTTTCGTTATTTACGCAGACTGCAAATGACACGTTTTAAGCGAAAATTCATTAACTTTAAGTTTAAGATTAAACAGTGAGGGAGTAATAGTCGTTGTGAAATATAAAGTAATGCTCGATTAAAGTTACTGGTTATCGATATCAATAAAGATATCTCTGTCATCTTCAATGTCGTGAAAGACCCATATTATCAAGTCTGGTCCAAGGGGATAACTGCTTCTTGCAGCAATCCACGCAGAACAATTTAGCGCAATATGACGTCCCATCGGTACGTAGACTGTTTTTTCTTCGATTTTAACGATTGGCATTGCTACCTTCTCGTTAGTAAAAGTAGCTCGCGGTTCTGCAAAAACTTGCATTTATAATTTCAGCAAGCTTTTCGCTCAGTACTAGGAAATTTACTCAATATTATTTTGCAATTAATCACACAAATCCTTTGACTCTCAGAGATGGCAGTTGCTACTGGTCATTTGCACTCTACCAGTTATTAGCAGACCGCTAGTCCCCTGGACACCATCTATTACTTTAAGGCAAGATGAATAGTCATTGAATTATGAATGCGAAGCAAAGCTGAGCAAATTAATTTCGTTGATTGCGCGAATAGCGCAACGTTTGTGATAGTACAAATTTCATATCTGATTTCAAACAAATTAGTTGGGTGGAAAAATAAAAACGAAGTCCATTTTCGTTTCATTATGTATTATTATTATCATCATTAACTAATTATTATTATTACTATTATTCATTAATTACCACTATTATTCGATATAACTGTTTATTATTATTATCACTTAATTTTTTCTTGCTTACGTTATTTTGCGTCAAAAAATGAAACGTTTTGTACCATAGATCGAATCTCTGAAAGTTTTACAAAGTACAGGAAATAAGGTAAGTGTGGCAAGCAGCAGCATTCTTCAAAAATTCATAACGGTTTATGCATTTCAAACTTCAGTCATTTCGTTTTATAATGGAATTCATAGTGAAATAAATGCATGCATTATTTGCATAATATATCATTAATTTCAGTAAATTCACAACTTAGAATCAAGTACGTCTAGTTTTCGTGACATGCATTTTGGGATACATTAAAGTCTTCAGAAGGCATAACATTATTTTTTGAGAGTTTTCATAGAAATCACTCTATTGCATAATATTTATTCAAATGCTTCATTTATTGTTTCATAGGCTGACCTTTGACCAAATACATGTTGTCTTTTATTTTGTTTTCTAACGTCAGAATAATACAACGCATGTCACGAAGTCATAGAATTTGAATTTAAAATTCATCAAATAAGTACTTATGTGTAGCAATAGATAAATTGACAGATTAAAGAATTCGCTTATCAAAGTAAACTAAACCTTTCTCGCATTCATCAAATTAGTCTTTTTCCACTTTAACTTCAGAAGATTCAAAAATGAAAGCTAAGAATTGATTTTGATTCAAATATCAGAAGTTCTTATATAAAAGATATTGCACGCTAACATACATTTCATTTCCATCGTTATTATTTATTTTATGTCAAGCGAAAATAATTAGCACACTTTATTGTTCGTTAGTGTGGCAAAACTAATTAATATCAAGAATGCAAGATATAATTATTTTACGCTAACAAACAAAAACTCTAACTTATACTATCTACTTCATTTCAATTCAAAGAATAAATTAGACCAATTGAATAAGGTTTAATTACTCAAAACTAGTAAGCTTTAAAAGAGAATTTGTGTCCTGCCATTAGATTTAGAACACTGTGAAATTGAGAATTTTTTGACGATGCTTTTTATATTCATAAATATGGAAAGCTTGATTTATCCTCAATTTTACCTCATTTGGTTTGCTTGCTTTATATATTTTAGAAACTGCCAAGTTTTTGTTAAAAGGCATGCAAATGATTATATCTGGGAAGTTTTTCGACCACATATATGTATGATAATCATGATTATAATTACAATTATAATCATAAAAATCATTGCACATTTAAATGTAATAATGTTATTATCAATTATTATTGTCAATTTTTTTTTCGTCACTATGTGCTATATTTTTAGCATTTAGATGAATTATGCGTGATCTAATTAATATAATTTTATGTGCAGAGTCATGGAGTGTTTAGAATGGGAGGATAATTTTGTTGTCGATGAAGAATGGCTGGCGAGGAAAATCAATGATGTTGTGGTTGATGAAGAAGATCAATGGAGAACCAAGTTGCTGAAGGAAATTGCATATGAGATAAGCAAACATTGCAAGCTGAGAAGTATGCCATGCAAAACAACTGCTATTCAGTCACTGGAAAATTCAGTCATAAAAAGTAGGTTTTTATTTTTTTACAAAAAGACTCCATGATGTATTTTCAGTTTTAAATAGAATAAGTTGTTATATTTATTGGTTTATACTGTCATTCTTCTGCGTTAACCAAATTCTAGTATTCTTTTGCAAGACTAAATTTATTTTAGATATAGATCGGCCAGCTAAAGAAATAAATATTTATTCTAAAACCAAACTGGAAGCGACATCTAGCGCTTCAAAAATCAAAAATAGGAATAAAAATGATGGTAATGAAGTTGTTACAACATTAGTTAAAAATTTGAAATCGGGAAAACCAGTACATTGCTATCCATATCTTGATGACAGGTAAATACATTTACTTGAATGTTAATCATAAGCGAATCATAAACTGCAGTTAGATGTAAAATTGATCTGCAAATTTCAGGGAAATAATCCAGTTGCTAAATTTTGGGCATGTTAAGCAACGTGATCTGGAAGTAGAATTAGGTGGTGACTTACTTCGAGCCATTTCCATTCGAAGATTATATCTCTCTGAAATGGCTGATATATCACTCTCTAATTTACCATTTCAAACTTACGACTACAATTATGTATGTTTTTCGTCACCATTGAAAAGTAAGTGATAATATTTTTTTTTTGTACAAAATTACTTTTAGGTTATTGACTCATGCTGTGAAAATGTAATTGGTTATGTACCAATACCGACGGGTTTCGTTGGACCGTTGTTGATGAACGGACGAAAATTCTTTGTACCAATGTCCACAACAGAAGGTGCTCTGATTGCAAGCACCAGTCGTGGTTGTCGTGCAATTTATGTTAGTGATTTTTTAGTTTATAAAATATTCTATTTACACGTTTTTACTTGATTAAATATGAAAAATGCTTTGTTTCAGGAATCTGGTGGTGTTGTAGCTCGTGTTTATAAAGATGGAATGACACGTGCACCAGTTGTCCAGTTTACTAATATTTTACGAGCATTGTGAGTTTGCAAAATTTCTGAATAGTTAGTCCATTTTTCAGTAGAAGGTCATCAAATTATGATGCTGTTTTCTCTTTGGCCTACAATAAAATACTAAATTGCTTTGCAACCCAATAATAATTTTTCATGCACTTTTTTGTGAGAAACTAGTTTGTAGAATACGCATAAAGTTACTCTCAATCTTTACTACCACATATTTGAAATTTTCAATGAAATTTATGCAATGTTTGCAATAAATTTTTTTAAAGGGAGGTCAAGAATATATTAGATTCCCGCAGTAGCTTCGAGGAAATCAAAAAAGTCTTCGATTCGACTAGCAGGTATGGTGGCTGCTTTTTATGTAGAATCAAATTGTTGCGAAAAATAAATTTAAATCATGCGATTTGTGTTTTGAGTAAAATAAAATAAAGTGCGACTTGTCTTTCTCAGCATTACATTTTTATAGATCTAAAGATTTATATTTGTTTCATTACAATAATTGTTCCCATCCAGCTCATGTCTTTAATAAGCAGTAAGCATACTTTTAAGTTTTGCGAAGTTGCAACAACTTGAAGTGGATATCAGTGGTCGGTTATTGTTTTTAAGATTTGAAGCTACGACAGGTGATGCAATGGGGATGAACATGGTTTCAAAGTACTTCTTAATGTTTACGTTTCTATGTTATTAACATCTCTTTTTCAACTTGATTAACTCTCTGCACTTCTCATTATTTAGACAGGCAAAACCTGTTGCTTTCGAAGCAGATAGTTTGCATTGCAACATCAAATTTTACTATTTTGGCTCATTTAAGTGTTTAACTTATAAAAAAAGTTCTTTTTCAAAATTTTCTTATTAAGATTTGTTTTTCATTTTGCTCATTATCAAGTTATATCTATTAAGGGACTTAATTAATTAGTATTTCTTGAAGTTTACGTCAAATTTTACAGAGGTGTGCATGCAGCGTTATCATATTTGAAAGAAAAGTATCCAGATATGGAAATGTTGTCCTTGTCTGGTAACTACTGTGTAGATAAGAAGGCTAGCGCACTAAATTGGTTAGTTTTTTATATATCTTGTTTATCTGTCCAGTACTTGGTACATGCAACAAATAAACTTTTTCAAAGTGGTTTTGATCACTTATCTTTTCTATAGGATTAAAGGACGGGGAAAATCAGTGATTGCGGAGGCGAAGATTCCGATGACTGTAGTGCAAACCATACTCAAGACAACTGTTGATGCTCTAGTGCGATTAGGACAGGCGAAACTGTTGATTGGTTCATCAATGAGTGGTACCATTGGTGGTTGGAATGCGCATGCAGCTAATGTTGTTGCGGCGATATTTATTGCTACTGGACAGGTTTAGATCGGAAAATAAGAATTTACAAAAGTAGTAATATTTTGTGGTCTAGTTTTTTTGTTTTAGGACGTCGCTCAGGTCGTATCTAGCAGTATGTGTTTGACGTCAATGGAAAAAACTGAACATGGTGATTTGTATGTTTCGTGCAATATGCGTTGTCTTGAAGTAGGGACTGTTGGTGGTGGTACCATATTACCAGCTCAGAAAACATGTTTGAAGGTAGTTTTCGTCGTTTATTAATTGAAGGATTATGCACATTCCAATGTTTTAAAATCTTGAAACTTGCAAGTCGTAAATCATATAAAACTTTCTGAAATAAAGATGCTGGGTTGTGGTTCGCCGACTTCCATACCAAGTGAAAGTGCATCACGTCTAGCCGAAATTATTTGCTCAACAGTCCTAGCAGGTGAATTATCTCTCATGGCAGCTCAATGCTCAAATGACCTTGTGAGAAGTCATATAAAGCTCAACAGGTATGTATAGTCTTTTCATTAATGATTGGGATAATTATGTGGCAAGTACTGCAAACTTATGTAATTTATTTTGCTAGTTTCATTGGTCATAAACCATTTTTAGGCCTCGTTGTACAATTAAATTTTTCCGCTCACTAATATTCAATATTTAAAAATCAATAAGTTTTTGTTTATCGTTGGGGATGACTGACTAGCTGGTCATTGCAGATCTTCAAGATGTTTGCATACTGCTACCAACTCTGCTGCTGTTCACTTGGGAAAGATTATATGCAATAAAGATGATGATCAGAGCAAATTAAGAATGATATGTGCTCTAAGAAAACATTCCATATCGGAAAAATCAATCGAGTTTGAAATGCAGTGCTCGAATATTTTGTGATTTGAGAAACTTTCATTTCCTGAGTAGGTATTTCCAAATTTTGTTCTTTTCGATTGAAATGTTGCATTTTTTGTATTACATTTGAGAAAATGTTTTTTGCGTATTAAGAAAAGGCACCCTCATTAAATGATTGTAAAACCAAACCTTTATAAGGCCTTTTTGTTCGTGACTTGTTTTTGTAGAATTCACTGGAATAGAAATTTAATAAAGGTTTTGTTAGCTCTGTTTTTTTTTCATGTTACGGGAAGACTCAGAATTTCTCACGCATACCAAAATGTGCCGAGTCTGTATTTTCTACTTTTTAAGATCTGTCTTAGCTTAAGCCACGTAAGTTTTTTAAATCTAATAAACTCGATTGAATTGACTTTTTCGTGACTATATTTAATTTGCTTTATGCTTTTAAAGCTTGACCTCGAAATGTAGTAATAAAGACGGAAAAGAACAATGCTTGATATGCGGTATCAACAACAGCGTTGCATGCGACACTTGGATTAATGTGAATTCCTTTGCGTATTAGAATTCACATTAATTCATCATTTACTAAATAATAGGGACATCTCAAGTCCTCTGGACAGATATGTTTGCTGTGTTTTTCACTTAATGAAGAGATTACAAGTCTTAAAGAATGGTTGTAACTATGCATGGTGGGATTACAGGCTTTGTGCATGAGTTTGAAAATGTAGCAAAGATGGAACATTTAAGTAGTATTTCAACCTTCTAAGGATTTGTTTTATGTATGTAATAAAGTAGCTGGAATTTGACATAGGAAATAGTTGTTTGTGCTTGGGGTTTCTGTTTCAAGTCAAGGACTGAAAATTCATCAAATCGATGAAAACAGGTGTAGATGGTATTTGTTGTCGATCAGTGTGCTTTAATGGTTGCAAATGTCGCATGGCTGTGGCAAGTGATGGTGTAGTTGTGTGCGGTGTGTTTGTTGTATGGTTTGTAGCAACTGATTGAAGTGGAGGACTGAGTTGGCGAATTGTTGAAAGTGAAAAACCGGTATGAGCCGTACGTTTGATGAATTCGTAACATTTCATTTGGCAAATCTGTAGTTCGCAGTTGGGTACATAAGTAATAGTGACTTTAAATTCTTTTGGGGATTGTTTTCCTTGATATTAAGTTAGCTTTTTGCTTGAAATTGTAGTAAGGAGTCTATAGAATACATCATAGTCTCAAAAGAATAATTAATTATTCAAAAGTGTTAACGTCAATTTTTTTCCTTTTATTTTTGAAGGATTAATGGAGTGGTATTATTAGAGTAAATGGATTGAGATTTACGCAGTGGAAAAGGTTGTGGCGCTGTTATCGTCTAAAGAGAATGGTGTTACTTACCAAAATGTAAATCCACATTGCGATTACCGAACAAGTAAAAATGACAAAGAAAATGAGAACAGAAGCTCTTTGTTGTTCTCCATTTTGATAGTAGTATATTATGCACAAAATAAATATCGCCAGCAAAGGAAAGGACAAAATTAAGCATAGACATCTGAAATTCAATTTTTGTTTCATAGTTTATCCAAATTATCATTATTATTGCACTCACATAATTCTCATAGTTTTCAATATATATTGAACATCATTATATTGCTGCTGAATGCGTGACGTCGTTATTCATTTTACAGGATTCAACTATTCGGATTTTGAATCTTGATTTATTTACCACAACTGATTACTTTAAAAGAAAAATTTCTTCAAGTTAACGCTTTAATCTAAAAGCGCCAACAAAACACTGTGTGAATTCAATTATCAAAACTTATATAAAAGAACAAGCAGTAGATTTCTGTGTCAGCATCATAGTAACTTATTTTAGAAATTTTTGTCGAAAATATCTAGGAGTATGTGATTGCTTGTGTTCTAAATATATTGCAAAAATAAAAAGTAAAGAGTGAGATTGTTTTCGAAAGCAAACCTAATAATGATGTGAGGAAGCAATAATTTGCAGTTAATAGTCTTTAAACCGTAAAGCATCAAATTTGCGGCTGCAATTTGCGTCAGTGGCCAGATAATGAATAATGCTCTCGTGAAACATGTGATATCACGAACGCTAGTAATTATTCTAAAACAGCGAAATATAGAGGTACTGAAAACTTTGTTACTGGTAGTGATCATTAGAAAGGTGAAACTAGTTGAAATACTGTATGAATGTTAAATATTTTGGTGTGCAAATCAGTTTTACTTTTCGTAGTGATTGCATTTTCCTGAACAAATGGAAGATATGGAACAAAGCATGACTAATATCAGTTTTAAATTACTACCATTTTTCAAAAAATGTGTTCATTATGTTGAGTTGCAAATTTATGCATAAAGTTAGTCATTTCAATACGCCTATACATATTTTTGAATTTTATTTAATTATTTTACAAGTATGGAAGCAGAGAAATTATAGTGTGGATTTAATTTTTCGTTAAATAATTACATTTACAGAATATCTTACTAACCTTCCAATGACCTGTTCCTTGTCAAAAAATGTTCCACTGACGTTGTCGAATGGTAGAAAATTGAAATCATCATTTTTTGTATCACACAATTTTGCACTGAGATCAGGAAGGACTAAAATATTCGACTACTTGAATTAATTAAGAATCAGTGAAAAAGCAATACAAAATATCATAGCTAAACTTTTCGAGCATACTTCATCGTAATTAGTTCTTTTGCAGATTGTTCTTATCCATGTTCATTTAATAATTAAAAATTGACTGCTTATTTCTGATTTGAACATGTCAGCTTTTGATGGAAATTGAAGACTTCAATAAAATATTCTAATAAGCATAAGTATATATAGATTATTTTTCACTGCAAATAAATCTATATTCGTTTGTTAACAGATGAAATTCGAAATCTGTATACTATTCCAAAATGATTATCCTTTCTGATGCTCGAAGAGTTATTTGAATTAGATTTAGTTGCAAGTATTCTATGTGTTCATGACGCTTTTCAATACTGAACCAGCATTAGCCAAATAAATGACCAACAGACAATGCAATCTTATTATTCAATTTTCTATTTTATACCAAATGTCAAAACATCGCAGGTTATGGCAGATCAATAGACAAGTAAATTGGTGTCATATTTTCAAAAACATCTTGGGTCTGATACTAACTTTAGATTATTATTTAATGGAGCGAATAATGATTGCGAGAAAATACCTGTGATAACCAGAGGACACATAAGTAAGATTTCCAGAATACCGGAAAGTATTGTAAAGGTTTTCACATGGCAACAGCATGAATGATATTTCGTGTCGTTAGGATTGAAATTATGAGGAAACATATAAATGATGGTAGTCTTGACTACTTTCTTGAACAAACTCTTCGAAGTGAAAGGGAGAGTGTATTTTGCGCAAAAAAATTTATTCTCAAACAATTCATAAATCAATTTGCAAGTCTCCGTAAGGCTTGAATTTTTAATTTATGCAAATATCAATGATAAATGAGATCAACGGTGAAGGTAATTGTGTTCTTACAGCAGCATCTGAGAGTACCACTGCAGAGCACAAACTTCACGCTTAAAACGAAAGTAATTCATTAACAGAATTGAGTTCACTAATTTTCAGAAACAAGTGCTAGCACGCATTGATGAAAAGTCTCTGAAAGAACCTGCACAAACAAGCAAAAAGTTTTGTTTTCATTCTACTTCAAAAGAGTGCATAGCAACAGGTCACTTACTTCACTGAATGCAAGAAGGACTAATACATCCCCAATGTAAGTTCATCTTGGCTTATATAATATAATTATTCGAGTTTATGCTTTTGGCTGCTGTATGCATGCTCATTTCCATTTCAGATTCAAGTATTATAAATTTATTTCTTTCACGCTGTGCACGTGAATCCAAGAAAATCATTTATATGTAATTACTAAAATACTTAAATATGGAAGATTTTTGAAATGTTTCTTTTACGTCATTTGCATTACTTCTAATTTCTAAAAACGTGCACAGACATCTTTTTTCTAAATAAAGTCGTTTATTTATTGAAACATTTATAAATCGGTCTGCTCCTAATTACAATGTACAATATGCACTGCATTACATATTTACGATTTAGTTACAGACTGCCATCTCAAGCACGTACTAATCTAATAATGGGTCATTTTCAGTGGGAAACTATTGTGACCCACTGAACTGCATTTTATGTATCAAGCCCGTAATAACAAGTGAACCTCTATTGGCGAAATCAGTTATGATGACTGGAACGATGGCATAAAATGTGATTGTAATTCAAGATTTTAAAAATTGGGAATATTTTTGTTTTTTATCAACATCTCAAGCAAGCAAACAGCTTAAATTCGTGGACATCTATCGAGTCATTATATTAATAGCATTGAGTGATACAAGCAAGATGTGATTTGGCAGTGATTCAATCGCCATTCAACGTAACCTGACAACTTGAGCGCAGCAGTGAACCATACCTGCACCATATAAAAACAATTTAATTAAATACGCAAAGGAAATTAGTATGCGTTTTTTATTACTTTATATGCTTTTAGTTGATTTCTTGTGAGCTCATTAAATTTAAATAAAAATACCGAATTATTAGGGCAAAAAATTAGTTGTTTTAAATAGCAAATTTGCTCTGCTAACGTCATAGCAGCGATGTCCGAGTGGTTAAGGAGTTGGACTTGAAATCCAATGGGCTTTGCCCGCGCAGGTTCGAACCCTGCTCGCTGCGAATAATGACGCTCGTCTTTTGTCTTCCTCACGTGAGAACGATTGGTTTTTCATTAACAATGAAATGTCTCTCCACTTTAGTAATCATCATATATATATATACATGTGTAGGAATTGATACACAGATCGAAAAGCTTAAGCTCATTCGATCACTTCCAGTCTTACTTGATTCCTGTAAGAAGTGAGTCTTTGTAATCAAGCTCTGTTTAGGATTATTGATTGGTCTTTCCCGTTCTCTAATTAGCAGTCTTCAAAATAATTGGAACGTGTAACAAGTTGGCACTCGGCTCGGCAGACAATTTATGATTTTACGTCAAATATTGCTGAAAATAATCATCAAACTTACTTAGCTCTAATATCAAATGGAGAATAAGTGATGTCATAAAGTGGCAATGCAAACTTGCCCGAATAATTATTGCAATTATTCATATTTCTTCCTCAAAGTGTTTCAGTTCAGCTTATAACTTGCGTATTATACAACGTAAATTCTATCATGAAGATAACAAGTGAGCTTCTGAACTGTTAAGTCTGAGGTGACCTGTTATCACTCCATTCTTTCAATCAAGACAGTTGGGTTTATTCTGTATGTTACTCTTAGGCTTCAGTATCACTGGAATTTTAAGTAAACAATCAAACATTTGTATTATTAAACCAAACATTGATTCAACACTTTTCATTCCTTTCAGCACTGTTTGCGTGCAAAAAGTATAAGGACGTGACTCATCAAAATATTTGCATCCCAAAACCATAAAATCAGTGATTCTTTTGATATAGGCTAATCAAATTCCTTATTGACCAGCATATTCCAATTCAGGAGCTAG